CAGATAAAGGTAATTCCAACATATGCCGCCTGGCCTATTAACTGGAGATACCAAGAAATGAACCTTGGAGCTTCTATGTACAAAGCCTGTGCTCTACTTTTGAGAAAGCAACTCTCCCCACAGCAATAAATGGGAAGGCAGTAGGTAAAAGACTCTCAGAGCGAATAACGGAATATGGGCGGGGGAAAGAGATTGTTTCCCCAGGCAGGAATCCGGAGCAGCTACAATAAGAGTGAGGCGAATCCACCATGTAGGGGACTCGGGGCCCTGACCCGGATGGCCCAGGCTAGCCTGATCTCGTCAGATATTGGAAGCTAAGCAGGGTTGGCCCTGGTTAGTATTTGGATGGGAGACCACCGAGGGAAGTCCAGGGTTGCTCTGCAAAGACAGGCAATGGAAAACCACCTCTGAAAGTCTCTTGCCTTGAAAACCCTGCGAGGCTGCCATTAGTCAGCGGTGACTTGACGGAACTTTCCATCACTACTACCAGGTGCCTTGGGAGACAAGAAGATGCCAGTGGGTAGGATAGCAAGAGACCACCAGGTGCCTTGGGAGACAAGAAGAGCTTCCCAACAGAGAAAGATGCCAGTGGGTAGGATAGCAAGAGAGATGGAAAGTTTGAATGCGGACAGAACATCCTTTGACATGGAATGAAGGAAAGGTGCAGGAGGGCGATGGAGAGAAGGGAACATCTGGACAGCTGTTACCCCTAACCTTAATAGGATTTTTATGCTTTTGTTACCTTTCCTGAGCCTCGGGCACTGAGCATGTTACGTATAAGCAGTGTTTTATATTCCTGTACTACAACAACTGCTTTCGTGTCACTCAAAGACATAACAAAAAGTTACCTTCCAAACCATAAGATCAGAAAGGTTCCAGCAGTCGAGACCAAGAATGAAAAAGCTAAACGTCAGGTGGAACAAAAATCCATTAGTCATTAACAGCCATGACTCCAAGAACTGAACACTTGCCAATTTCTGTATTTAGAAGAATGTAATAAGTCCTGGACATACTATGCGTCATTCCAGGACCATGGCCAACTATGCAAGAAGCCTTAATGCACTAAATAGTCTTTTGCCCAAATGCATTTTTTAAATTCACACCAGCCTACATAATTGTCAAGAAAGGTGCTAAGAACAATGCAAAGCAAGGACGACATCCATCTCAAGGAGATGGGAACGTGTTAGAGCGGCTTTTCCTACGAAATTCAATCATGCCTACCAAGTCGACACAAAACAAAACGAAAATTCCTAGGATTGTTCTACACAACCCTTTCAACAACTTTAACTAAATTAAATTGTACTTGTTCTTAGTTCTGCAACAGTTCAAGTTTCATTTAAATGCACGTATCTCACCCCACGGAACAAACTCCCCGTCAGGCTTCAAAATGTCCCCAGTGACGTATGTTTCTGTTCTGAGACAAAATGAAGTATCTGAAAGGTTTCTGCACTACCATCCAAAGCCAATATATTGAACCAGGCAACTTTGATCTATCAAGAAAAACATCTGACCATTATAGTCTAAAAAGCAACAGAGGTATAAACCACAGTGAAATACTAATTTCAAAAAAGGCATGAAACCATCATTGCTGATATGGAAATGAATTCCTCATGTACTATTCCTGTCAGAATTTGAAAAAAAAAACCTACCTCTAGAAATTCATTTCTAGACACACAACTGTTTTCATTACCTTAAACGAAAATATCAAGTCTGAAAATCAACCTCTGAGCCGGACAACAGGGGAAAAGATCATCTCTCTTCCAAATCATACTACGAACCCAGTAACAATGCAAAGACAAGCACATTAATACAATGCACATTCAAGCTCCACATTCACAGGTCAAGCAGATGTTGAATTCCAGTCATTTAATACCATCTTATACTTCAGTGCCAGTAAAACATAGCAAGCGGACTAAGGATGTCGCAGAATACTAACTTCCATGCAATGATCTTTAAACATCTTTTAGATTTCCCACAGCTTCTTTCTAGTGCACATGAAATACTGGAAATACTACTCTAATTGAAAAGGCTTACCCAAACTGGTTGTTCTTACTCTGCACTTTTCCCAGCAGAAGCTTCTGATACAGCAGATACAGCAAATAAGAGGGAGACGGAATGAACAAGGGAGGGGAGAGAGTTGCACACTGCACGTCAATTGTTTATGCCCTAATACAGCTTCAGGGCATACAGAGGAGCTAAGCTGCTTGCCAAATTAGAATGGAAGTTGCTTTCCATTGGGTCAATTTTTTTGTTTAAAATGCAACCTTTCTGTGACTGCTCTGGTTTCCACAAGCAGTGTCAGGAGAGAAAGCTACATCTTAAAAAATGCTAGGGAGGTAGAGGAAAGTGGATTTAATAGAAGTACAGTGTGCAAAGCAAGTAGACACTACTACACAGTGACATTTTCCCATCTCTTTCTGTGGCTTTAGAGTGGCCTCCAAATTTGGTAACAAGCTAGACGGGGTGACTATTTTTATACATGGATTACTCAGGCGAGTTCCAAAATTACAATAGCAATTCCATTATTCGCAAGATTTGCTCAAACAGCTTAAAAGGCAAAGATAACAAAAGATTGCCTATGCTTGTTTACTACAGACTCCCATGTAGAAAGCAAAAGGAACAGGCTGTAAACAACCAGAAAATAAGTAACTACCATCCTGTTCAATCAGCTATTGACCCAGCAACTATTGGCAAAAAGTTTCCAGTTTCACTATGCTGACACCACTTAATTACGGTCTAAAATTAAGACTCCTTAACTCCTCTTTGAGCATTCCGTATCACTGCAACATGGAACGTTTCCAACATAATTCAAAGTTCAAAAAGCAGCATACCGAGTCTAGAACTTACAGAACCACCAATGTGCCTCAGGTCTCCTGACACTGGATCGTCCTGCACAGAGAGGCTTGATAACAACGATAAGAAGTCTTGGCTGTACAAACCCCACCCCCTCTTTTTTTACTACATCCTGCCATTCTCACCATGGAAGAATAAAGGGAGGCTCCAAATCAACCTCCTCCCTGAAGAGCTGGGCAGTATAAACACTATTACATAAACTTTAACCATGAGCCTTTAGCTAGACCCTCCCATACAGGTTTCTCCCCCTTGGCCAGGTTCTGCATGGCATGCAACGGCAAGGTCTGACTGCGCCCTTTCTTGGACTCACGCAGCTTACAAAAAGTCTAATTCTAACGCACTGCCATTACTGGAGGTCCTCAAGGAATGTTATAAGCACCTTCTGAGCTTTAAGGCAGCACAGTTAAGTTACAGTAAACTTCTGACAACAGTATTTAAATGCAACAGAAATGACATGGGTTAATGGAATACTATGTTCTAAGAAACCATTCTAGCAATGTGAAACGTTTACATTCAAACTTCAAACATTACTCTCTTTACACATGCCTAATGGAGTTATAGTTTCTTCAACAAACCTAGCAACTCTAAACCCTGTGTACAATAAACAGATTAAGAACCTGTCCCACCCTTCTTCTCACAGCAGTTAATCACAAGCAAATGTATTCTGTTAAAAATAAATAAAAACCAACACCTCAGCTCTTTCCTCACCTTTCCTATTCAGTTTCAAAAATAGCTCTGGCCCTGTTCGTTATGCAGTTTCTGTCAGTCCAATTTAATGCCTGGTTAGAGGTGAACAGATAAGCGCATGGTTCATGGAGCAGCCTAGCCAGCTACAAACAGCCAACACTGAGAGAGGAACTAGGGGGTACTGTATGTTTTTGTAAGCAGCTATGTGCTGCAGTCAGTGTTTTTATACAAGGCTTTGCTTTTTAAACCCCTGAGGAATGGAACACAGTCTTCTGAGAGCTTCCACATCAAAAGGAGCGCTCTAAGAGTCATCTCCTTCCTGATATCTGTATATTAAAACAAGTCCCAGAGACATTTTCATTAAATCCTGGCCTGAAGCATAGCCAGATGTAACAGGCGCGCCCTTCGTTTTGCAGAAGTGAAGGTCACAGACAAAATTCCAAATTCCAAACGTTTGCTCAGTCAGGAACAACAAATAAACATTGCCCCCGCCAAGGGTCATGCTCATTCTCATAATAAACAAGGGGGATGGCCTTAGGAAGGGACAGCAGAAAAACAGGAAGTGAATGGTTAAGACAGCTGCCTGCATCCTTCTAGTACCCTTTTCGGAAGTAATATGCATAAAGCAAGATAATAAAATGAGACACTAGTAGTATAAGGTTTTTGAAGTTTAGACTTTCTAATCACTGAATATTCCTGATCAGCTTTACTTTCACAATAAAACCAACTTGAAGTCATTTCACTAATCCCAGATTAATTCCGCTTAAATCTGGCAATGTTCTGCCTCCCAGGGCAGAATAATCTGGGTGCCTGGTCAGCTCAAGATCAGCTATCGACATGAATCACCGAAATGTGAGGAAAACAAGTGGTGCGTTTTTGATGGGCTCCCACACAACCTTCAACTCACAATGCTTTTAAGCAGTATTTCAAATGGAACCCAATGCCCGCAGAAGACTGGATTTCCTGTTACAGCTTTACAAAAGGGAGTTCTAACTGCCTGAGTGGTAAAAGAAGAGAGACAGACACTTACTGAAAATTATACATGGAAATACTGTCAGACCCATTATTCTTTGCTGTGGATGTTACGAAGTTTACCAGAAGCAAAATCACCACCCCTTAAAGCACTCAGCAAATTAACGTATAACACCACACGGACTGAAGTTACCACCCAGGGCTATGAATACCCGAAATTTTCTTTCAAAATGCAAGAGAACATTCGTTTGGGAATAAACTTCGCCCCACATGAAGATAAGTGAGAATGTTAACAGAGCCCTTTCTCTTGGCACATAGTCCATATGAACCCACCCTACAGATTCCCAGCATGCTGTGTTACAGGCAGGAGGACTTGCTTGCCTTGGCACCTCAAGCAAATCTTAAATCCCGCTGTTGCACTGAGAGAACTGCAAATATCCCAGCTTTTGGTCTCAGGAGAAGGCTGTTTCCTGCATCGGCTCTCTTACCCATCCGCCTTGTTGGATGACGTAGTCTGCGACGTAGTCTTCTAGGTAGGTCACGCCAAACTGCAGCAGTGCGCCAAGTGGCTCCTGGCCCCGTCTTGTGAGCTCCATTAAGAACTGCTGAAGTATCACCAAAGGCACTAAAACCTTTTTAAAAAGAAAGTGGTAGTCAAGAACTGTAATATGCACTATGAAATTCAAAGACTGCTTCACTTACCTGTTGTATAAGTAACTTAACTACCTATTGAAAGCAAAGAATGCGCAAGAGAAATGTGGCATCTAAAGCCTAACTGGATGTTTGGAAAGAGTTTAGCAGAAATGGGAGTCTTCAGGTCCCTGGCATATAAGAGAGTCAGCATGGTACGGTGGTTAAAAGCAAGGGACTCTAATCTGGAGAACCGGGTTTGATTCCCCACTCCTCCCTGTGAAACCTGCTCGGTGACATCAGGCCAGTCATAGTCCTCTCAGAACCTTCTCAGTCCCACCTACCTCACAAGGTGCCTGTTGTGGGGAGAGGAAGGGAAAGGAGATTTTAAGCTGCTTTATCACTCCTTAAGGTAGAGAAAAGCGGGGTATAAAAACCCTACTCTTCTTCTTCTTCTAATTACACCAAACAAGAGGCCCTCTTATCGCTTTTCCTTAAGCTGCCTGCTGATGGGAGGCAAAGAGGAGTCACTGCAATCATCGCCGCTTTAAATTAAGGGACTGGTGTAGAGCGGCAGGAACAAAGATGGCGGGGAACGGAGGCACAGCTTCCCCACTGGCTGGGCTGAAAAGGGGGGAGATTTGGAAGGAAAGGAAGGGGAAACAGACAGCAATCCCATCAGTTTCCCCTGTTCATCCTTCCTCAGCTGACCTGGCATAAACCTATCTGGGGGGGAAAACACACCACCTCTGTATGCCGGATACTACCCACCACTGCCAGTTGCAGCCCTTACTGTAAAAGTGGATGGCCAGCAACGCAACTGCAACTTATGACAAAATAATGTTGTTGAAGCATTTTATCAGTTCATTATACTTATTCCCCACACGGCTCAGAACAGCTTATGTATGGTTTCCAGGCAATTCCCCATGCAGGCAGCTTATCAGGCAAGCCTGCTTAGTTTCAGCAGAGACCAATGTTAATATGTACCCTTCAAGGCCTTCCCCCATCCTATTTCTAGTATAAAATAGCATTTACTTTCTCTTTTCTTGCTTCCCCTAAAATTGCTCCTTCTGTGCTAGGCCACACTTCAAAACAGTAAAAGGAAAGCTCAAAAGTGCATCTTTTAGTGTAACTGGAGAAAGATTCATCAAGAGCATTAACGTGTAAAACCCCTGCTCCCAAATAATTTAACGTTCTTCCTGATGAAACAGAACATGAGAACCTTTTAAACTCTGGGCTGCTTTTCACAATGTCACTTTTAGTGCCAAGTCTAGGCGGAAAGAACTAGCAGAGTTAGAGCCAGCAATGCCTGAAAGAAATTGTCTGCAGGCTGAGCAGAATCTATCATTGTGTTTTAATAACACTTGCAGTGCACTAGATATGCAGTGATACACAGATGATAAGAACTAGACAGCTTCTAGGAGCTTTTTACAAGACAGAGGATGGGGTTCCAGATGCTTAGCTTGAAGCACTGGCGGGTGCTTTTGTTAGAACAGTTTATCGCAAGCTTGTCACCTGCTGTAAGGACAATGAACTATAATTCAGTGAAACAATGGGAGGATTCAAAAAAGTCAAAAAATCTTCTCCTGTGCAAGCTTGTCAGAATTCAAGTAGCTTTTCAACCTAAATCTTGGGACTGAGCCTACCCATATGTTAAGATCCTCACTGGAGGCCTTTGTTCTACATTTCCCCAACTTTAGAGGCTAGGGAGATGACTATGAGGCATACAGCATTCTCACAAGTAACATCTCGTCTGAGGAACTCCTTGCCCATCCATTTTCCTGGCTATTATTATGCCAAATAAAAACTGTTTTCCCAGGCTTTCCGTATGATGTGATGTGCAGTCTACAAGTGACCTGAACTGCTAACGGTTATGTTTGCTGTATTTTACTACTTTATTACTATTGTGTGGTGTTATTTTAAATGCTTTGCAAGCCACTTTGAAAATCACAGATAGAGAGGTAGGACAGAAATATCTGAAAATTATGTACCAAATTTGGACCATGGTACTTGTGATCGCTACTCAGCTATCACTGACCAAAGTAAATACTGTATTTCCACAAAGAGAACATTTGCCAGTTTTCAGCTACATCCATTTCGAACTCTCAGTCTAGAAGAAGAAGAGATTGGATTTATACCCCGCCCTTCACTACCCAAAGGTGTCTCAGAGCAGCTTACAAATTCCTTTTCCCTTCCCCTCCCCACAACAGACACCCTGTGAGGTAGGTGGGGCTGAGAGAGCTCTTGACAGAAACTGCTGTTTTTTCAAGAACAGCTCTTATCAGAACTACGGCTTGCCCAAGGTCATCCAGCCAGGTGCAAGTGGAGGAGAATCAAACCCGTTTCTCCCAGATTAGAGTCCGCGTACTTAACCACTACACCAAACTAGTAAAATCTATTTGCTTGCAGAATAGCATGTAGCATTTGTAATTCCCTTAACTGACAACTCAATGTTTCTCAACCATTTCATTTGCAGTAGCCTTACTTAGACTCTCTGCAGTTTGCTCCTGTAGAAATGTTCCTCAGTTTTAAAAAATGTTTAGAAAAAAGGGACAGGAAAAGCCTTAATTCTTTTCATTTCCCCTCCAGTTTGTGCATAAAAGGGCAGGTTTACCAGGAAAACAGCCGCAAGATAAAATACCAATACAGATGGCACAACAGAAGCTGCAGTAAAAGCAAAGTTCTCTTTATATGTACAATCATAATTATTTTTAAAGAGAAGATTCAGTCATAACGGTGGTACATAATTCATAGTCATTATAGTTTGTAACACTTTAATATTTGGGGAAAATCTTACTCGTTACAAATTTTCTTGTTTGCTATGCTGCACATTTTTAAAATGACTTTTCCTTCTAAATAAATTGAGTAGCGCATCAGAATGTGCCTCGTCAAACATTTATTTGTAAGAGTTATTTCTCATCGTTTAGCAGAACTTTGAGGAAGTGCAGGATTTAAAAAATGCAGTGAGACGGATCAACCACACTGTTGGAGTTAATCAGAGAAATCATAAAGGTCCAGGACCCATCAGTGCAAGGCACACAGCAGCAAGACCTTTCTGGTAGGGGGAAGTGTCCGGAACACCCAGAGAACTGCTGAGAGGTGGCGTTCTGAACTCCTCCCCCAAAATGTCTGGCTGCATCCCAGAGACTTGTAGACTAAGTTCAGAGAACAATCCAGGGGCAACATTCTGACTTCTCCTCCAAAGCTTCTTTGCTGCAACCCAGAGACCTGGAGGGCTGCCAGGAGATTTTATTTGGTGGGGAATGAGAGCTAAGTCCAGTTTTTGTCCTCTAGGAAAAGAAGCAGCCTATCAGATATAACTGACTAAGAAACACTGAGAAGAAGAGATTGGATTTATACCCTTCACTTAAAGTCTCAGAGCAGCTTACAATCTCCTCCCCCTCCCCCTCCCCACAACAGACACCCTGTGAGGTAGGTGGGGCTGAGAGAGCTCTTTCGAGGACTGCTCCTGAGAGAACAGCTCTGAGAGATCTTGTGACTGACCCAAGGTCACACCAGGAGCTGCATGTAGAGGAGTGGGGAAGCAAACCCAGTTCTCCCAGATTAGAGTCCATGCTCTTAACTACTACACCAAACTGGCTCTCAAGAAACTTTGCACAAGAAGAACGCCCAGTCACCACCACAACTTGGCTTTACAGAACCACTCACAGACCACAAACCTGATTTTCAAAAGAGAGTATGCTTAGAGCTGGGCATTGGTATTCAAAGAAAACCTTGCGTGACAAACATGTTAGTCAAAACAAAGAGTACTGGGAAACCTTAAAGAGTAGCTATTATTGTGGCATCACAGTTTGTGAGCCACAGCCCACTTTGAAGCTTTGCTCGCAGTTGTTTATTACTTAAATGAGTGCAGAAAGCCAATCAACCTTTAGATAACTATGTTAACATTACTATGCAGGCCACCTATGAAGGAAGACAAGTCCAAACAGCAAATAGTGTGAGAATGGGTGATGGAACTGGCAAAGCAAGTTGAAAAAAAGTTAAAGCGCTTGGGGCTCTTTAGCTTGGAGAAACGACGACTGAGGGGTGACATGATAGAGGTTTACAAGATTATGCAGGGAATAGAGCAGGTAGAGAAAGGTTCTGATTGATTGAAGGAATTCACTGTCACAGGAGGTGGCGGCGACTACAAGCATGGACAGCTTCAAGAGGGAATTGGACAAACATATGGAGCAGAGGTCCATCAGTGGCTATTAGCCACAAGGTATAGATAGGAACTCTCGGTCTGGGGCAAGTGATGCTCTGTATTCTTGGTGCTTTGGGGGGGCAACAGTAGGAGGGCTTCTGGTGCCCTGGCCCCACTGCTGGACCTCCTGATGGCACCTGGTATTTTTGGTCACTGTGTGACACAGAGTGCTGGACTGGATGGGCCACTGGCCTGATCCAACATTGGCTTCTCTTATGTATATCAGCAACTGCACATGTGAAACAGTGATGTGGTCTTTAATGGATCATGACTGGAGTTAAGGGAGCTGCTCATGATACCACCAGACCTGCCGGAAAGGTCCAGAGCAGGCCAGAGACAAAAACTTTGCACACGAAGATCTTTAACTCTAGCTTGCTCTCAAGCATTTCTTGTCAACTCCCTGTCTGTAATTAGAATGGGACTGGGATATCCTTTCAAAGCACGGTCTGGTTGCTGTCAGGACTGAGTGGCGCTTGCCAAGGACATCCAATTGCCTCTCTTATTACAGGCAGCGAGAGGACAAGTATGGCCAAAAGCATGCTAGAGGGGGAAGCTTTTTCAAATGCGAAGTATGTGTAGCCTGAGATCTGGAACCACATGGGAGGGGAGAAGGGAGCACGAATTTTCTCTCACCCAATAACTATTATTGCTCAGGTCAAGAAGGGCAGCCAGGGTGGGGCGGGGGGACATTTCTGCTGCCCAGGGCCGGTTCACCACTCAAGTGAAGCAAGTAAGTGGCCTCTTGGGAGTGCCAAACCGGCAGCAGGCTGTGAAGGAGGCAGGAGGTAGCTGAGAAGGTGTGTGGCTGGTCTGATGCCACCCACCCAAGATGTTTCATGCAAGCCAGTCTGTAGAGACATTCACCCTGCAGCTCACCTGGGATGTGCAGCAGTAGAACAGGGACACGCTCGCTCTCTGCTGCTGCTGACTTTGGGGTGGGAGGCAGAAGGGCCAGACAACAGATGAAAGGTAGTGCTCTGACAATTCCCCCTCCCCCCCAAGAGACACTTCATGCTGCATCCCAGAGGCTTGTAGGAGAATTGGTGGGGGCAGGGGGAACTGTTGCCTCTCACCGCTCAGAGAACACCCGAGAGGCAGCATTCCAACCCCTCTCTTGGGGGAAGGGAAGCTTCTAATTGCATCCCGGGGGGCCTTGCAGAGAGGCAACAAGACGTTTTCCAGGGTTAGGGGTCAAAATGATGCCCCTCACCCAATTTATTTATCATCTTTACTGATTTATTTCTCCTTTCTCTCAGGATGCAAGGCAAAGTGACAACAATATTCAAACAATCTGATAAAAAAACAGCAAACATTAAAACAATAAATATAAAAATACATTAAACCCCAATCGAAAAACAACTTATGCCCCCAGCAGCAGGGTACTTTCTGCTTTGCCCAGATTCGGGCTTCCCGAAAAGCTCCCAAGTAAGTCTTACAGTCTCACTGGAAAGCCAGGAGAGTAAAGGCTCTCCTGGGAGGCTGTGCCACAGACATGGGCAGCCACCGAAACAGCACAAGCCAGAAAAAGCTGAAGACACACTGGCAGCTCCCTCCTGAAGCCTCAGGGGAGGTGGCTGTAGGCCACACAACATTGCTCCACTGTACAGCACGCAGCCTGCATGTTGTGCACCCATGCTGTAAACAAACCTCAGAGGAGAGAGAATTAGTGTCAGATATTCTTACAAATTCCAGCATGGCAGCTTTTGGGAGTGTCTAGCTCAGTGCAGAAACTATGTTTTGATTTGCAAAGAAAATCTTGAGTTTTGCAAGAAAGTAATCTAAATCCTTTATGGCTCAAAACTTTTACACATTATGCTTGTATTTGCATCATTTATTCAACCTCTGCTAGTCATAAAGTGGCAGTTTGTCAAGCTCGGGCCTCGCTTGCCATAGAAAGCTGTCTAGCCAAACTCATGGTCTGTTGCATTAGGGATTAACTACTTTCTCAGACGTGCTTATTCCACTGTTTTCATCTACATGTACTCCGGGGCCAAATACTTCACTGCTGTTTATCTTCTCTGCTAGGAAGGGGGGGAGTGGATATGTGTGTGAATGTCTGCTTAAGCTTGAATAGCGCCAGCTCGTAGCAGTCTGCAAGACCCTGAGAATTGTATACTCTCAGTGTCCACCATGACCTTGTAACGCAGGGAGCTTTTAGATAATGTAACCGTTGGTTTGCAGGTGCGGGGGGTGGTCACAAGGGCCAGCTTGAATCTTTGGCAGGCTGAATGAGAATACTGATTGGGTGACTGGCACGGGGGGCATGTCCTGCTTATTTATTTATTTTATTTATTTGTTTGATTTATACCCTCCCCGCGAGCAGTATAGTAGTATAGGGCAGGAACTGGCATCCGGAGGCCAGTTCCGACACAAAATCTGTCTATGCTTGGAATCTCTCTACCTCTCAATAAACAAATCTTGTTGCTACAAGAGTGTTGTGGGAGTGACTGCATCCAGGACTTGACAGCAATGCCCAGAACTGAAGCCCCACTAACAAGTATCTGAAATGCTGTTTTGCTTCCCCACTGGCTTATTAAATTTTGACAGCATTTCACTCATATTTACATCTATCTATGAAGTAATGGGTGTAAGCTTCATTTTTAAGACAAGAACAAGGAAAACAGATTCTCAGGAGGCTAAATTCCTTTCTAGTCTTCTGCAAGAATGGTGTACCCTAAACTTGAGTGTAGATATTGCCTGGAAGATGTGCACTGCAAGACAGACCAACCTGTTCAAACATACAGTGCAGATGTCTCAAAACTGATACTAAACTGCATTCAACATGTAGCCAATTCAAAGTAAAGCCGAGCTGGTCTGTACCTTGCTCCATCCAGTGGCAAGGGCTGCTGCCTCCTGCGTCCTTTCCCTGTATTCCTGATAAGTCACTGGCCTGCAGACAAGAGACCAAAACAGAGACTTATAAGGGGCTGGGGGAAGAGGCTAAACAAAATATCATATTCAGTTTTCAACCAGTATTTCTGCACACAGAGTTCCATTGGTTATACCAGTACAACACTTACCAGCAACATCAGATCAAACAATGAGCTAGATTAATATAACTTTTGCTGAATTTTCATTCAAGCCATAGACAGGTAAGTAAATATTGGAACAATGGGAAATTATTATTTTTTTTAAAAAGAAAAGATTTTTTAGGGATGGTGTGATAGGTCATCATCACCAACCTCCATTGTACAAAGTAAACTTGTTGCAAGCAGGAAGGGTGCTGAGATGGAAGCAAAACATCAGTCATCAGTGTCTGGTGATCGTCCCAAGCTGCGCGGAAAACTACACTTTTAGCCCATCCTTCTTTTAACTTGTAACTCCATGAAAGATAGATTTATCCTCATAACCACCTTATTACATCCATTAGGCCACAGAGGCTACCTGCTCAGCATCACAGCTGAGTGGGAATTCGAATTTGTCTCTCACAGCCAAACATATAACAGAACCATATAATAGAATTTGCATGCTGTTTACCAGGGCTTTTTTTTGTAGAAAAAGCCCAGCAGGAACTCATTAGCATAATAGGCCACACCCAATAGCATAAACTCATTAGCATATTCGGCCTCACCCTAACAGCACACCTCATTAGCATATTAGGCCACACCCCGTGTTACTAGAAGTGTGGTCATCCAGCCACACCCACCTTTTGCTTCTTATTCTATTTACTTTGTTTATTGTCAAAACCCAGGGCATTTTTTGTAGCAGGAATTTCTTTGCATGTTAGGCCACACCCCCCTAATGTAGCCAATCCTAATGCGTTTCTGCTGTTGGGTGTGGCCTATTATGCTAATTAGTTCCTGCTGGGTGTGGCCAGTTCGGGAGCCAGCCTGTGCGTTCCTGCCCAAAAATAGCCCTGCTGTTTACTAATTTAATATAAAGGCATACTTTTTACAGAACTAAAGCACTGGGGTCTTGCCAGCTGATATACAGCACAGTAGCTTCAGGTATACCCAGGTACTTGTGGAAGAGGACTTTATACAAAAAAAATGACCACAAAGCCATGTGACGCATTAGAAACCTAACTTTCTTCATGCCTGTTTCAAAAAGCAATTTGCTGTGCATTGATACTCAAGAAACACGTTCAAGGCATCCTTAAACACACAGATCTCTGCAGTGTGATTCTGCCTATAAATATCATTTACACAAGTTGCTTTATACAAGCAGACTTTATTAAGAACTGCTGAAATCAGTTTCCCATCTGTTCCTTTGCGTAATAGCATATGCTCAAAAAGAAATCCTATTGTGGTAAAGTAAGCACCTCAGATGTTTTTAAACTAAAAGCACAAAATACAAGTCTTTTAAATAAATAATAAATAGTATGAAATTTGGTGCCACTAGGGTTGGCCCTAGTGAGGACTTGGATGGGAGACCACCAAGGAAGTCCAGGGCTGCTATGTCAAGTATAAGTTTATTGCCTTAGCCGTAGGCCATAACATAATACCTTAGACTATAAAATGGTAATGTAAACAATAAACTGCGGAGGCCGCGGAAGCCGCACCGGAGAGAACTGGAAGAAGTCGCCCACTCGCCGGATAAACGAACGATAGGAGCCGGGAGGGTACCTGGTAGGGCTCCCCCCACCCCAGATGTACTGTGGCCATAGTTAGGGTTTCTGCATAGGTCTCTGCACCATGCACTGTGTAAGCCGCTCAGAGCCCTTCGGGGGTGAGCGGGGTACAAATTGAAAGTATAAATAAATAAATATAAAAATATATATCAGTATACTCCTTACCTGAAGAAGTGAGCAGTGACTGGGCTAGAGGGGGCTGGGCTAGATGGACGCGCAACCACACCTCATAACCGTCATTCATTCTCATTCATTCATTCATTCATTCATTCATCGGAATAATAGGGATGGTGTACCTTAGCCTAGGGGCTTCATGCCATGGGCATCTCAGAGTATAATGTACAATATCATCAACTTCCCCCATATCACAAAGTCGGGGGGGGGGGGCAGGGATACCAAAGGGTTGCTATGCAAAAGCAGGCAATGGCAAAGCACCTCTGTTCATCTCTTGCCTTGAAAACCCTCCACCACCATCACCACCATGAAACCTGGTACAAAATAAATTTGGTATGCTATATCCTGCTTAACCCAGCTGAACTAAATTTTGCCTTATTAGCGTCTGTAAATTAAATTTAAATAAAACAAATAGTTTTATGTTAAGGTCCTCAAATTTCTTCATTTTAAGGGCTCCCCTTAAAGGGCACCCAGAATTGCTCATTTTAAAATCTGGGACTTGCTCATATAGCTGAATACCAGTTAGCACAAGGAAGCAAAGTAAAAGGCGATGCTACACTCACAGCTCCATTACATGCAGCAGTGCTAAAGTATCTTTCAGAAGAAAAAAGTACTGCTATTAAAAATCTAGATCAGTATTTTACGTTCGCATAGAAAACATCCAGGCATAAATACGCATAAAAATCTGGAGACTGTCTCTAACTGCTATATCACTGACTATACAAGATGTAATTAAAATGCATTATTTCATGCATTTATCAGAGATTTTGCTTTACCTCAGTTACACTTTTACACTATTTGCAATACATTACATGGTTATAAATACACACAACACATAATCTGAAACAGGACATGTAGTTGACTGTAGCACCGTATCATAAAGCCAATACACTAAACTGTATTCTTCTTCACAGTTGTTAAGACTTAAGCATATCCCCGCACTAAACTGGAAAGCTCTATGCTGCTGTGTCTATTATACATATCAATAAGCTACAGTTCTGTCAGAATGTCAGGATGTTTTGAAACAATCTGCATGTTCTCTGAATTCAAGATGTGGTCTTAAAACATCTATGACTATGAATTAGTTTCCCAAAATAATTGGACAGAAGATTTGACTGATCTGCTAAACATTCACATTATACCAGACACAGAAAGGTTTCCATTTGAAACTAAAATACTATACATGAAACAGCATAATACAAACAGCATCAATATAAAAGGCCCAAACTGAGCACACCTTAACAAATTCCAGGAGCCACTGAAGATTTATACATCACTAATGTCAGTGGAACCTCTCTTGAATTTTCCACACAACATTGCCTTGGGTTTATTGTAGAAAGCACAAAGTAAGAACAGAAAGCGTTCATGCAACTCCACTCTAGCATTCCCTTTTCCAGGACATTATATTGGTCTGGAAAACTATTTCTGTGTTTGACAGTGTAAGTACAGACAGTAACTCAAGTATCTGAAGCCAAAATCAATGTGTCATTTTCCTCCCAAATGAAAAAGAAACCTCAAACACTAGTTTATCATATGCCATTCATCTGGAGCAAGTTTCAGTGGTTCCCCAGCAATCATTTGAAGACCCGGGGGGGGGGGGGGGCAGGCACCCCCCCCCCCCCGAGGACTTTTAAACTCTGACAGGAAAAAAAGAGGAAATCTGGGGGAGCACTGAAAAGAAACTCCTATAATAAAGTTTTTATTAGAATTACTAAAATGCTTCCTAAGGCAATGTTTTTCACATTCAAAATGTAAAGCATGAAACTGGAGCAATGAAAAACGAACTCTTATACTGTAGAAATAAGTGTAAATAATTTTGGCAACAAGTAGTATGCTGTAATATGTTTATTTATATTTAATTTAATTTATAACCCACTCTCCCTGAAACTGACTCAGAGCGGGTGAAAACAATTTATAGCTATACAATTAAAACCTTCTAAAAAGCAGCATACATTTAATCAATTTTTTCTACAATTTTTATTTCTTCCTACCTGTCAGATGGCAAATATTAAAAGATAACGTGTGCTACAGCAGGATAGGGAGTAACAGTTTGCAACTCTTTCTTAAATGTTGGGTACACTTGATTATTTTCCTTACAGAAATATGTTAAATAGTACCATTTAATTTTTTTCTAAATGATGCATTTAATGTTGTTAAAACAGTAGAACTAGCTTTTGCAGGGGAAACAAAGCCCACTTTCCCCCCAAGGATTCAAAATTTCCAAAAATTTTACATCATCCAAATGGCAAACACCCGTTTATGTTAGCTTAAAGCTCTGTGCTTGGATGGTGAAACTACACATCTACAAACTAGGTGATAGGTAACATCCTTCAAGTGTTTCTCTAGTTAATTTAAACTGCATGTTCCTGACTTAAAATTAACATAACTTGACAGAGGTACAGCATTACAATAAAGGCAAACGTGGAGAAGAGTCACAGGATAAATATTAAACATGCAGGATAGCTACAGGTTTTAGAACAAAGTATTATTTGAGGAACTACTTACACATCTCAGTTATTTATTTCATGTAAGAAAATCTTTTCCCCAGTATTTGTATGCACAACTACAGGCCCTCTGACTTCATTTTTCTATTCTACAGCGGCTACTCTGGACTGTAAGAAGTGTTTACTCAAGACATACAGAACAGTCTTCAATAGAACTGAGAGGATACAGCTGAGGACCTGATCAGTCCATCTTTGGATCCATCACTCTAGAACCCAAGATGTATTTCCAATAGGGTTGGGAAATACATGGAGATTTTTTGGGGTAGAGGGGACTTGAGGAGGGCAGGGTTTGGGGAGTGGAGGGATTTCAATGGAGTATAAAGAGTCCACCTTCCAAAGCAGCCATTTTCTCCAGGTGAGCCAATCTCAGTCACCTAGAGATCAGCTGCAATCCCGGGAGATCTCCAGCCACCACCTGGAGGTTGGCAACCCTAAATTCCAATGTTTTATTTCACGTTCAAACGGGGGGAGGGGGGAAGCTTTGCAGGTCAAACTTCCCTGAAAACTCTGTAGGCTTCTATATATTGCAGCACTACATGTAGCAGAGGTCCTTCAGTGGCTATTAGCCACAAGGTATAGATAGGAACTCTTGATCTGGGGCAAGTGATGCTCTGTATTCTTGGTACTTGGGGGGGGGGGACAGTGGGAGGGCTTCTGGTGTCCTGGCCCCACTGCTGGACCTCCTGATGGCACCTGGTATTTTTGGCCACTGTGTGACAGAGTGTTGGACTAGATGGGCCATTGGCCTGATCCAACACTGGCTTCTCTTATGTTCTTAGAGACAAAGGAAAAAAATACAATAATTTGGCAAAATCCCACGCTTATATTATAGGTAGAATACCAAGTTTATCAAGCTGTTGTGGTGTCAGTTATCTTATCCCACTAGCATTCACACTACTGACACAAAATAAAGTGCCAATACTATGTTCACGACCACATCTCTACACATTCATTTGAAAGAACGTTAACGAAGTTAAAACTTCCTATCTCATGTTAACATTGAGGGCCTAACCCCCACTAAGTGGAAAACAAAAAAAAACAAACTGACTTACATTAAACACGTTTCTGTGCTACCTCAACGCAATTTCTCTATTACTTCCTACTTGCTCCTCATATTAAAGGCCAGGAGCGCTCCCACTATGAGAATGGGGAAGTAGTTCCAATAGCAGATGTTTACCCAAGATATGTTTGGTAACATCTGGGGTACCTAAAATATAGAGATATCAGTATTAGCCCCACGGCACTGTAGTATGGCAACCAGAATTTAAACATTTAAAGGACACTATCCTGACTACTATCTAGTATGCAAGAAACTCATACGCTGAGAACTTACAACTAACAGCACAGTGGCTTTTGAAGGGTGTACTTATTATGGCTGAACAACACTCACAGCCTAAAAAGATGGAAAACCTTCAGTTCATTTCATGCACCAGAGGCCAGTGTCTGTTTAAGAAGGCAAACTGAAACAGGTTTACAAAGAAGTGTACCAAAAGGTATTTACATCATCAGCATTATCATAATTGTGAGAATTGTAAGAGCAAGTACCTTCCTGCTGGTTACACAGAGAAGATCCTTGTGGCAGGTGGCAGGTGATGCAAATAGAATGTCTTGCACAGCCAATCAAATCTCCAATGGCTAATCGGCCCCACTTGGCCCTCCCTACCTTCTAAAAACACTTGGTGGACAATGGGTAAGGCGTCACACTGGGTAACCCTGGTATAAGCTGTCACAAGAGTCAAAGCTCCCTTGACTCTCGAAAGCTTATACTCTGGAAACCTTGATGGTCTTTAAGGTGTTACTAGACTTGAATCTTGTTCTTCTACTGCATACCAACATTGCTACCCTCCTGAAATCATCTTAGTGCTACAGGATGGCTGCACTATAAGAACATGAATTAGTATTAGTTCCTAAAAAATACAGCATGAAATAAATACAGAGTACTTCAGACAGTTTTGAACCCAAGATTCATTTTTGGCCTTTCATAATTTTGCTAGCAAAATGCCCATCACTATATTGGCTACTGCACAGTGCAATAGGAAGCCCCTTATACCAAAGTGTTAACTGCCCTATATGCAATGCATCTCTGCACACTCGTTGTTGTTGTTCAGTCGCACAGTCAAATCCGACTCTTTGCGACCCCATGGACTGCACACTCTACCCTGACCTTTATTTTTTCTTGGTATGATTGAAATCTGGAAACTAGTTCCTATCTATTTATTTTATTCAGTTTCTATACCGCCCATTCCCCAGATAGGGCTTTAATATTTTAATATTTCAGGGGATTTATAAAATTGGCTCAGATATGTAAGCTGCCCTATCCTTCACTCCTACTCAGCGCAAGGTTAGCTATGCTGTTGTGCCATTTTTAATCAAAGATGTTAATTATTATACCATCATTTACAGGTCTCAAAAATTTCACAAACACTACAAAAAAGCAGACAATGGTATGAAAACAACAGGTGTTTTGGTTTAACTTCCACGAGCGTACAGCTTTACCATTTCTCATTTCTTCATTACCACTCTATTAGTCTCTTCTTGCAGAAAGTGTTCCTACCAATTGTTGTCTGTTGATTAGTTATTTGATCAGAATCAGACAAAGAGATCACGTATGCATATACATGACAGCTGGTAAAGTGTAGTGATTAGGAGAGCCCAGAAATTTGAACTTTGATCATCATTTCATTCATAGTAGTAGTTTTACTCTCAGGTTCTGCCCCTGTCATCAATATGGTGAGAAGACAATATTGAGCTCCTTTGCAAGGCAGTAGTAAGAATGACTGAAATACTGTGTGTGGTACTTTGAGAGCTCAGAAAAGTCAAAACAAAATTATTATTTAGGATAAGAAAACTGATTTGACCTATATTAGTGAAATCAGATTGTGATGGTAACGAATAAAGAATACTTAAAAACTAGCATGATGTAGTGGTTAAAGTCTCAGACTAGGATCTGGGAGACCCAGGTTCGAATCCCCACTGTCACGAAAGCTTGCTGGGTGACCTTGGGTCAGTCACACACTCTCAGCCTAACCTACCTCACAGGGTTGTTGTGAGCATAAAACAGAGGGAAGGAGAATGATGTAAGCCACTCTGGAACCCCACTGGTGAGAAAGGTGGGGTATTAAAATCAATCAATAAATATCAATCCAGTACAACAACTGTGTGGTAAATAAATATGCTACGTCATTCTAAATTCATAAAAGCACAATCCAAGCAAAGTACATAATTTAAGTTCCACTGAGTCTAATAGGAGAATTAAGCATATGATTACCTGTCTTTCATATAAATCAATAAGATCTAAAAGTTCCTAACTTTGGGCTGGATCAAGCCCTAACAGTACAATTACTGTAAATTCGGAAATGCTGAGGCTATAAAGAGAATGAGCAAATAGCCTTTGGGATGGATCAGAAACATTTATGCATTTAGACTTAAAGCAGTTTGCAGTTAAGCAGTCAATCGCTAATGGAAATAATGTTTTGGTGATTTATTCAAGGACACAATTTTGTCTCATCAGATGATATAACAAGAAAATAAAGCTGTATTGCTCACTAAAACACTTGCATTTTAAACTATATATTACACTGATATATTTGCCTATGTTATAGAGACTTGTGAGTAGGAAATCTCAACTTTAAGCCAGAACAACATTACCAATACAGGAAGAAAATCCACCAATATACACAGACCTTCCAAAATTTCTTCATCAAGATGTTTCAGTTCTTCCTCAATTTCTGCTTTAACTTTCTCCAGAACCTCCTTATCTAAAGCCTGGGAGCCTGTAGATGGATCTGTCATTGGAATAAATCAAAGAGCTCAGCTAAGAGGCTGCCCCGTCAAGGGATGTATAAGGCGGAAAGACAGCAAACATTAACAACAACAAAAATCACTTAATTCTATTGAAACAAAATTTTAAAAGCTTCTTTCTTGCATTTGACAAGTACTGCAAAAACAGGAACGGCGACTGAGTGTTTATGTCACAACAGCATCTGAGTTACGGATACCTCTATACACAGCAAATCCCTCGCAGTGAAGGAAAAATCCATCAGAAAACCAGTAAGCAACAATAAACTTTAAAGCAGGGGTCAAACTCATTTGTTATGAGGGCCGGATCTGACATAAATGAGACCTTGTTGGGCCGGGCCACATGTGACATAAAATGTAATGCCAGATAGCGGAGATATAACCTTTATAAAGGACACCAACACAAAGGGTTTTTTTTACTTAAAATAAAAACATGCTTAAAACATTAGCACTCTTGCAATATTTTGTTTATTTAATAGTGTCTGATAACTGACTTCCGGTTGATGGCGGCACGCTAGGCAGACGCATCTCCCGGACCTCCCGGGGATGCGGTCTGTGCATAACAATGCAAAGCGGGGTTGGAAGACCAGATATGAATGTGAGTCGGACTGAGCAAAACGACGGTTAAAGAGAAAAAGAAAGCTCCCTACCCCATGTTGAAAAACGGAAAGTGAGGCGGGCGGGGGAGGGACGTCTCCAAACCGCATAAACGTTTGAGTGAATCGAGG